CCAATATAAGTTTCCTGGCAGGGCCCCCTGTTATTCTTGCCCTGGCACCAGGGGATGTGGTAGATGACACCACACTTCTTCTCTTTGGGGGTTTTGTACTTGGGCGCAACAAGAATGTGTCTTTTAAGGGGGCACACCCCAGTTTATTTGGCGTCTCTATTCGAAGCTGCACACCCTCAAATCTAGCGACCGTGTCTGGCGTGGAATAATTCGGAAGGAGAATAACTGTATATGGGACGAAAGGATATCTCTTCAGCTAACAAGACCAGCTGAGTTTGGTTTCTTCAACCTTTTTAATTTTGGTAAAATCAACGGAAAAACATTATTTTCACTCCAAAATTAATGCCCAAAATTGCGAATTTTCGCGTAGGATAATCCCATAGAAAAAAATTTTCCGGCAAAAATGACTGATGCTGGCAGAAAGACCCAAGCCTTGACTATACCCGAGTAAATTATAAAGAAAATTCTAGTACTGTAATTTTTTTAATCGTCCACGGCGCGAGGGGTTGCAAATCCGCTACTAGGAAGGCGCAGGGCGAAATCTAGGTCAAACGGGCGGATTACACTTGGCGCGCAAGGATACCCGGAAGTAAGGTTCGGAGCCAAAAGAATTTTTCACCCCAAAATCACCATTCCTTACACTCTTCAGCCATGTTAATGTTTAATGATACTTCGTGCCAGTTTATGATGAGAAATGTCACATCAAACTTGGGCCCTCAAAACCCCTTCGTCACTTTTTTTCAACGGACTATCGTGGACCCCGGTCGCGGAAGAACTGGGATGTGCACCGTTAAAGTAGTGGTTGGTTTGAAATAAGTTGCAATCCCGTGGGAAATGAAAATCCTCCTCAGAGCTTCAGACAAGTCCTTGATGTAAGGCAGGACCACCAACCCCTTGGACTTTGTTCCTGCTGAGGGTTTGGTGTTAGGAGGTTTTGGGCAGGTCGCTTTGTTGATGGCCCACTGGGGGTAGCCACAAGTTTTTAATGCCTGGGTCATGTGGGACTTCTCAGTCTCTAAATCCTGTGGATCTGACACTATGGTGTTGGCTCTGTGAAATAGAGTCCTAATCAGCCCTAGTTTGTGGTCAAGTGGATGGTTAGAGTCAAAGTTTAGGTATTGATCCGTGTGTGTGGGTTTCCGGTAAATCCGTATCTGTAGTGACCCATCCTCCTGTATGAATGTAAGGGTGTCAAGAAAAGGTAAAGATCTGTTCTGTTCCTCCTCAGTAGTAAACTTAATATCAGGGTCTAAACTGTTCAGAAAGTCTGTAAATTCCTGTGCATATACTTTCTTCAACTTCGTGTGAGTGTCATCAACAGGACTGATGATTTATTATTTATTTTTGTATTATATTTTGATTTGCACTTTGTTTTGATTTTGTATTATATTTTGGTTTGATTTGTAATCCGTGACCCCGCCCTCACCCTCGACCTTGTTGAAAAGCGGTCATTTGTAACCGAACAAGCTTTCGAGTTTAAATAAAGGCTTACTTACTTACTTACTTACTTACTCTATAAAATAACTACAGCCGGCACAGCTTCAATCATTGTGGTTCAAATTAATTATTACTGCCAAGTATAGTTGAACTCTCTATAACTTCAGCCCCTGCAGTGGTCGGAGACTGGTCTGTTATAGGCATAACATCCTGGTGCAGGGGATTGTGGGATCAACGTGTCCTGCAGCAGGGAATTGTGGGATTACGAGACTGACAGTTGATTGGCTCGTGGTGCAAAGCCAAGTTGAACACTGCTTTGAATAATCAATCTGGCTGTGTTGGAATGTTAAAGTTTAACCCCTCGCAAAATTAAATACATGTATGAACATATAAAAATCCAAATTTCAGAAGAATTCATACTAACCAACTCTCTGTCCTTCCATTTCTGCCATTTCTATTTCGTGTTATGACATTTTTTACCCCAGGCCAATTTTTTTTTTCCATGGCCCTCCCCTTGGTTAAAATATTTTTTCGATGGCCCCTCCCCCCAGGCCAAAAAAATTTTCAATGGCCCTCCCCCCAGTGCACCAGCCCCCCCCCTGGTAAATATTGTACAGTCCCTAAGTTTTCCGTGTCCTGCCTGGCCCCAGGACTCGTGTTACCTTGTCACATGTCCCTTTGTTTGCCTTTTATCGACTAACAATAGAAACTCTGGGCTTGAGCGACGGAGCGTGAAACTGCTGATTATTCCTGCAGACACTTTCTCTGTGCAGCAAACCATTAGCTGGGGCAGTCTATTATAACTGCAGGGGGGTATATTATAACTACAGGGGGGTATATTATAACTACAGGGGGGTATATTATCTTAACATCCGAAAACCCACAAATTACAGAAAAAGTGGGATCCTTTGTCTTCCTCTGTCTTTAAAAAAGAACTCAAACACAGTAGTTTTTACCAGTAGTTTCTTAGTAGTTATCAGTAGTTCTATATGTACTAATTGTCTGTTTTTATACCATGTTTCTTCTGTTTCTGCAATTAGCCCTCGGGCAAGAATTTGCAATAAACTACAGGGGGGTATATTATAGCTGGAGGGGGGAAGTTTATTATGACTGAAAGGGGGGTTCATTATGTGGCCTACTTTAATTTTTCAGGTGAGAGATTTTAATTGGCTGCACTACTGTTACAGTAATTGGGACAAATATATTAGGCACTTTACTGTTGTGTTAGAGCCAAGCTGTTTAATCTCTGTGAGCACAGAGGTATGGAATATTAGATAAATGAATATTTAAGAATTCAAGATTTGTCAATGCTTTATTTAATATTCATTCAGCTTCAAGTTCGTCTTTTACATATCGGTCTAGGTTCTACCAAGTAGTAAAGCTTTTAATTCGATAATAGAATATCATATTACAAACAGCACCTTTTCCACTAGTGTTCAGTACAATGGGGATGGAAGGTTGAACTGCAATAGTCATTATTTAAGTCTTGCATTATTGGAGGGTTGAACTGTCTCCCTAAGTCAACTGTGTTCAGGACAGACAGAGACTTCACACATTTCCACATGTACCTTGCCAGAATTGCTAAGGGATGGAGCTGGGTTCAGGGTCAAGTTCATACGAGTTGTGCTGAGATTTGTGTGTTTAAACCTCTTGTCTCAGGAGATGCAGAGACATTAAAACATTTAAACATCCGCTAAGCTGCTGAAGGATGAAGTTCAAGGTTAAGGTCAGGTACCTCAGAGTCTGTAAAAATCTGTGGGAGTTGTGCAGAGT